TTTAAGATTTGCAATTAGAAACTCCATCCCTCACAACTCCACTTAGCCACCACTTGTCGCCCTTTCTTAGCCATTGTAGCGGCCTTTTCTCCCCAAAACGAAACCTTAGGTTATAAAAAAAAAAAAAAAAAAAAATTAGGGTAAATTATGCAAATAGTCCCTGTAGTTTCAATTTGCTCGATTTTGCTCCTTAATTTAACAAAAAAAAAAAAAACAATAAGAAGGCCAAAAAAAATTGAAGAAGTTTTAAATTTTTACAAAAATGTGAAATTTTTATTTCTTCTCACTCTACTTTTTGTATGTTTTTTTTCTTGTATAATACCAAAATGTTCTTCCTAAACATATTTGACTTTTTTATCACATATTTTAATAAAAAAAAATTAAAAAATCAAATTGATTATCTCAAAATTTTCAAAGAAAAATGCTTGGGAGCACTAAATTAGTGCTCCCACTAATTAGGTGGCAGTGGGTCCCGCCATTAATGATGTGATGTTTTGGTCTTGGAGTTGTGTTTTTTTTTTTTTACTTTTTTAATGCATTAGTGCTATTAGTGGTGATGTTTTTAGTGGGATGAATCATTGTTGCCCCTTTAAACAATGATTGTTCATCATTTGTGATTATCTATAAAAGAATATGACGATTTGACATTTATTTTAATTTTCAAAATTTTAAAACATCAACTTTCAAATTAAATTTTTTTTTTTTTGAAAAAACTGAATTATTTTTTTTGTACAAAACTAAAATTTTTGTGCCTATAAAGGTGCATGATGTTGGAACATTGATATGGAAAACTAGAAAAAAAAAATTTAAATGAAAAAATCGATAATTATCAGTTTTAAAAATGAAAAAAAAAATGTTAATATTCTTGGTTTTATTGAATAGTTAAATCAGACCAATCAGTAGAAGGGTAAAAATGTTTAATTTCATGCTCTGCTTTTTTTTTATCAGTTAGTAAAACAGTTATCTAGAACATTACTATACAAAATTGATAATATTCTTAGTTTTAAAAATTGAAAAAAACAAATCATATTCTCATTTTTATTAAATATGATTCGTTAGTTTAAAAAGTCTTAGGACCTGAATTACCATAATATTTATAAATATGATTTTTGGGTAATTAACTCTTTAATATTTGGACGGATTGGGGTAAAGAATTATACATCAGCCCAACTCATCTATTTATAAAATATTAATTATAAATTAATATTTTTCTTGTTATAAAATAAAGTAGAAAAAATATATAAGACAAAAAAAATAAATAAATACATTTTTATAAGGTTTAAATTAAAATATTTGTCAAAAATCATATTTATTTTATCATTTAAGGGTTGTTTGGGGTGTCCTAAATAAGTGCACTTTTTGTCTTTTTGGACTAAAAAATTGAGGAAGAAAATATAGATATTTGGGTTAACTTTTTAACTTTTTATGGAAAAATGTGTAATGTGTAATAAAAAATTGTAAAAGTTGGTTTGTAGAGGAAAATTAGGATTGAGAGTTGTGTAGCTGTAATTGTTGACTTTGGTGAATAGTGTTAACTTTTTAACTTTTTGAGTAACTTTTTGACTTTTTAACTTTTTTGTAATATGCCAAACTTAGCCTTAATTTTGTACGTTTCAAATTTAATAAATAAATGAATCTAGCTAATTTATCATCATTAAGACAAAAATAAAAAAAATTAAATTAAATTAATAACTCATACCTATTGTGTTAAGTTGGCAGATTTAAAATTTGAATTTCTTTTAATGTTGAATTTGAAATGACCAAGGCTCAAATTGGGTTGGATAAAATTTGGAATGACAATTATTCTCTCATTACATAGTATAAATATCAACAGACCCACTAATATTTTTACATCCATAAACGGTTTGGAAATATGTTATTTTAATAATATTTTGATTTTTTTTTAATCTAAAATATGAAATGATAAAAACTAATATGGTTGTTATGATTTTTTTTTTATTTTTATGAAATACGTGCAAAAGTAGAGAGATTTTTTTTTTTTGTTGTATATTTCTTGAGGCCGTGTTTAGTTCATGGATTTAAAAAGAAATTTGAAAATAGAAAGAGAAAATATAGGTGAAATGTAAATAAAATATAGATACATTTTACTAAATTTCACACATTTTTTAATTTTTTCTTCTTAAATCTATGAACCAAACACAGTCTTAGTGATTTTTTTTTTTAACTTTTTGGTTATTATAGGGAGTAGGGGTGTGCGTGGTGCAGTTAGAGCTGTTTGAAAATAAAATTATAAATCAAAAGATAGATTGACGGATTGACAAATAATCAATTCACGATTTGGGAGAACCCTCAGTTACATGGGTTCCAAATCAAAATTTGCATTTCTTATCGTGTTATTCATTACTGAACAAAATGGTGTAAGGTTTTCAATTGGATTGTTTGTTCAAGCAAAATGATAATAATGAAAAAATTAGGATTTACTCTTTTTTTTTTTAAATTAAAAGGTGTATGTTGAGATTTTTTTGTTCTTAAAAGATGTATATAGAGAATTGTTTTCATATTATATTATGGGTATTACTGAATATCTATTGTAGTCATTTTCATTTAGGATATAATTGTCATTAAATTAATATTTTATTAAGTGTGTGCATTGAGTTAATTAGGTGTGTGGAAATAGAATTTCTCTCACATGTTCTCTCTCTTTCTCTCCTAATAAAAAATTAAAAAACTATTTTAATCTTTTTCATTTTATTTTCATAATATGTATAATTTTTAATATAAAAATTTAATTTTATAAAATTAAAATATTATTGAAAATATACCTTTAAAATGAGACTAATGTTAAATATATTTAATAAAAAATTAAAATAAATAAAAAGTAATTACTATGTTTAGTTATGGTTTGAAATTACTATTATTTAAATATAAAAAATTAATTTGATGAAATAAACACACAAAAATTATGTATTTTTAAAATTCTCAAAAACAATCTTCATTCAAAAAAAAATTATATGAAAACAATTTTTTTAAAGGAAATAAAAAAGCACACAAATCCAATTTGTGCATAGGTGCAAATCAAATGCATAATAGTTTTGGAAAGATAGTTAAAAACTATTTTTTGGGTTTTTTTTTGACTTTTTTTGAAAAAAAAAGTGTAAAAAAATGATCACATCATCACACACAAAAGTAAAAAAAAAAAAAAATCAAAAAATTAATTTTTAACCATCTTCTCAAAACTCCTCTGTATTTAATTTGCACTTATGCACAAATTGGATTTGTGTGTTTTTTTTTTTATTTTCTTTAAAAAAATATATTTTCATATGATTTTTTTTAATGAAAATTGCTTTTTATAATTTCAAAAATATATGATTTTTGTGTGTTCATTTCATCAAATTAATCTTTATATTTAAAAAATAATAATTTCGAAACGTAACTAAACATAGTAATTACTTTTTATTTATTTTAATTTTTTATTGAATATATTTAATATTAGTCTCATTTTAAAGGTATATTTTCAATGATATTTTAATTTTATAAAATTAAATTTTTATATTAAAAATTATACATATTATGAAAATAAAATGAAAAAGATTAAAATAGTTTTTTAATTTTTTATTAGGAGAGAAAGAGAGAGAACATGTGAGAGAAATTCTATTTCCACACACCTAATTAACTCAATGCACACACTTAATAAAATATTAATTTAATGACAATTATATCCTAAATGAAAATGACTACAATAGATATTCAGTAATACCCATAATATAATATGAAAACAATTCTCTATATACATCTTTTAAGAACAAAAAAATCTCAACATACACCTTTTAATTTAAAAAAAAAAAGAGTAAATCCTAATTTTTTCATTATTATCATTTTGCTTGAACAAACAATCCAATTGAAAACCTTACACCATTTTGTTCAGTAATGAATAACACGATAAGAAATGCAAATTTTGATTTGGAGCCCATATAATTGTGGGCTCGATTCTGCTGTCACCAATTTGCAGCGATCCATGCCGAGATGCAGAAGTGCATGGGATAAACCAAATATTGGCACTCATACCCACCTAGCCTCAGTACTATTATTGAATCCTCACAGTATTCTTGGTATGTAGAGAGTAAAGATGACATTCGTATAAGCTTCCAGATTTTGGAAGTCCCAAACTGTCACTCACAAGATCAAAATCGAAGGTTTTATGTCGATAGAGGGCACGTAGATCCGAAAATGATAAATACAATAACAAAATGATAAATGTAATAAAAAAATGAAAAGATTTCTTACCTTCAACATTATTTTAGAGGATTTTACAATGGTCTTTAATGGAGGTGTTTTATGCAAGTCTTATATGGAGTGGGTGGGTTAATGTGGAAGTGGGGTCAATCAAAAGTATGTGGAAAGAGAATTAGCGGTGTGTGTACAATAGTTATAAATGAATGGTATAATTGTAATTTTAAATGTCTGGATTGAGAAAATTAATTGATAATCAAATTAATAATTATGTGTATTGAGAAAAGATGTGCCTTGAGCTAATTAGAGGTGTGAAAACAGAATTTCCTAACATGTGAAGGTAAATTACACTATGCATCCCTATACTTTACACAAAATCCCACTTTAGTCCTTACACATCAAAATTAAGTGTCACAATTTGATGTGTAGAGACTAAAATAAAATTTTGTATAAAGTGTAAAGGTACAAAATATAATTTATCTTAAATTTAAAATTTTAATTTATAACACAGCGCAGTAATATGACAATTATTTGTTAATTATATGAATGAAAAAATAATGTTATCATCTATTATACATGAAAAATTATACCTTATGTTGTATTTTTTAATTTTCGCTTCATCAAGATTAATTTCGATTTATTTAACTTCATAAAAAGAGAAGTCAGTATAATTATCGAAATTGTGCTTACTATATCTTTTTCAAAACTTAGAAAATGTCAGTGTAATTTTTTGTATATAAGAAGGGCAAGGGTACGAATGATTACAATTTTAAGAGATTGGGCGTAAATAGAAAGAAGAAGCGGACCATTCGATATAGAGAAGGAATCAACGAAATCATACGAGGCCTCCTTCGCGGTTAGCCCAACAAAAACGACTCTTCTCTTTCTCTCTCTCTCTCTCTCTCTCTCTCTCTCTCATTCTCTTTTTCCGGATTTACAACTAGAATGGCGTCGCCTTCCGATCCCTCCAACCAGTAAGTTCTTTCTATATAAATCATGTTGTGTTTGTAGTTTTGGTAATCAGACTCTCTCTCTCTCTCTCTCTCTCTCTCTCTCTTGTTTACTGAAGTTTGATGTATAAATTTATTTTCCAAGGCAGACTGCTGCTAGGAAACAAAACAAAGGACCCCCTTTGAAATTTATGTTTCCCCTAATTTATGCTCCTGTTCTTCCTCTCAGTAAGTAGTAGTTCTGGTTTTATTTTTATTTTATTTTTATTGATTTCTTTATGTTGGTTCATTGTAAATTTACTGAATTATATGTTTCTAATAATGGGTTTGATTCATTCAGTGTTTTAATCTTTGCGTTCTCAATTTTCAGTTCGAATTCAATTGCGACATAACCCTGTTTTGAGGGACCGTTTGTTCACTGCTGTGCTTGCTGGGGCATTTGCTCATGGGTTTTACTTGATGTATCCTTTTTCGATTCAGTGTTTTTATTTTTATTTTTTATTTTTTTGGTTTTTGTTTATGCTATTCTAAAATGATATAATGTGATTAGGGTTATCTGAGACATGTTGCTAACTGGTTTCCCAAGGATGAAATTTACTGTCTGCTTATAATATTTCATAATTCATTGTTATTAAACAATAACCCATTTCAATTTTAGACAGCATGATAATGCAAATATATATATTTGGGATTAAAGGATTACTTTAAGTAATTAGATGTATAGTTGTAGGATTTTAAATGTTAATTGAAGTCATAAGGTGGCAAACTAACGTTACGGATGGGGACTTTAGACTACTTAATTTAGTAGATGCGAAAAAGATTGGAATAACTTCAGAAATTTTTGAAGCAAACATGTTATTCCATGTTAAAATTTCAACATACGAAAAAATGGACATAAAACAAGTGCTGAACTTTCTCTTGTTGCGGCACACATACACACACATAGACATTGGTTAGATAAAAAAAGATTCTAAAGAACCTTTCAATATTTTTGCACTTAGCTCCAAAAACCAAATGACTTCCCTATGCCCAATCTTTAGTTGAAAAAGAGAAGGTTCTAAGTTTTTATAATTTCAATGAGGGGCAAAGGGATGGATGGAGAAACATCTTTTTGTCTTGGAAGGGATTTATCAGCAATGTTTCCCCTCATTCTTTTTTTTGGTTCCAATGATGATGGGGGCTTTAAATAATGATGGCCTGGAGGGGCTGTTTTTTTGGGGCTCTCCCAGCCACATGCCCATGAATGCCCACCTTCCCAACTTGGATAACATTCGAATTTTTATCAAAATGCTACTTACCTTGTTAGAGACAATTCAGGTTGTTCAAATTGCTTCACAATAACATTGGTTTAGGATGCATATCTTAAACAAATATTCATCTCATATATTGTGATATGCAAAGCTAATATTTTCTCTAGTCCTCATGCTTGAGATAAGATGGATCTTCTTGTTACTCATTGAGCACTTTTTAGAGGCTCATTGCCAAAGAGAAGAAGAAGAGAGTAATTGAGTGTATTTGATTTGTCACAAATTGCTCAACGAGTGGAATCACTTGAGATTGCTAATTGTAGAATCATTCATGTGACCAAGACACTTCCTTGATTGGTCTGAAGGAATCAATCCCTCTAGGAAAGAACACTTGCAAGATAATTTTTTGGATATCAACAACCTAATCTTATGATTCATCTTCGTATGAATTTATAAGATTACAAATGTCTCTTAAATGCTAGATTCTTGGTATTCCACGCATAACAAGCACTAAATTTATTTAAGCACTTGACAATAACCTAGAAGTCTTTAAGGAATTTTCTTGAATCTTGATAACAACTTTTATATCACTTCGATGATTCTTGAAAACCGGAAGAGCTGACTAATTAAAATGTCTTATCATTTTTATAGATTATCACTTGATGCTCCTTCATTACTAGGCTGGGTATAAAAAATTTGAATGTAATATCATTGAGAATAAATGAATTAATGTGTCAGCGTCCTGAGGAGGTTAGGGAGCAATAAGGTCGTCCCAATTGGTGGTCGGGACATTGAATGGCCTTGCTTATGGGCAGGGTTTGAACCTTGCTACCCATTCCCTTCCCCTTTGGCTCTATTCGTTTTCCTCCATAGCCTATGAGATTGGATTACCTATTATTAAGCCTCACAAGAAACATGTTTGGTTTGAGAAACGACCATCATGAGACTAGGAGTCCCATGGGATTAGGAATACCCTTCAATGAGGGGAGTAGCAATCCCATGGTGGAGGTGGTATTGCAAATTCAATCCTATGGGATTGGGGGTGAAATTACTATTTTGCCCCGTACTTTACAAAAACAACCGTCACTTTCTACATAATGAGGGCTTTCGTGTAATTTCATAGATTTAATCTCAATCAATTAATATCACTATAATAGTGCACAAACAAACACAATTTACCTTACACCTCCAACCTAACGCCACTACAGTAGTAATCCCCACGCACTCAATCCCACTATACTCATTATCTCATCCAACTTAATTTGAAAGACAAACGTTGCCTTAAAGTGTAATTTCTATATGTTGTTTTTTCTTGTATAAAAAAGAGGGGGAAGGAGGGGAGGGGTCTTGAGGAGGTTACAAAAGAGCAAGAAGGAGAATTAGTGATCATAGACATTTCTAAATGTGGGTGGTGGCCAATGAGTCAGTAGAGGCCGAGGAGGAGAGAATTAAGGTGTCTTTAGTGAGAGGGAGGATGGTAGAACAGGAGATGGACCATTGCTAGAAGAGTGGAGTAAGAGATGAACTTGCTTCAACACTTGCATTGGAGTCCCCTTATATAGGATGATGGACTGTTAGAGGCTAGCTTATCCAGGACCAAGTGGCTGACTCTCCTTGATTTGACAAAATGGAGGTATCTTGCCTGCCCTTATGTCATAGGATATTGATCTTGGGGTCTATGCTATGGGCAACAAAAGAGGTAGTTATGATATGTTGGAGAATGTATCATAGAATGAGGTTGGTGGTAGGTATGATACACCTTATGTGGAGGGTATGTCACGACCCAAATCTGTCCCTATGGGTTTAGTATTGTAACCGGCCAGTAATCCTGGATTACCAAAGGCCTTTGAACAAATTAAACAAAATATATGGGCTAACGGAAACAAATACAAACGTATAATGTCCATAGAGTTGTGCAGACATTCATGGGATTGGAAATTTAAAAACTTATATTTACATATATATGATGTCATCAGAATGTCAGCCTTTTGTCATCATAGATACAGATAAACCAAAAGTTTGTCCAAACAAACAAAAGAAAATAACTTAAACTTAAACTTGCCTCATATCCACAAAACTCGACTACATGACATTTCGGAACCTCCTCGGGAGGCACACTGGTTAGCTGACTCAAATAGATCTCCAGGTAATTCTCACTAAGCCTGGTCCTGCGCCTGATCACCTACATACATAAATAATACAGTGAGCTGGAAGTGAATAACAATAGAGTAAAGGGTTTATGAATGATGTCCATCACAGATTTAGAAATCAGAGTTCATATCAGAAACAGATCTAGATTCACATGTTTATACAGAATTCGTAAGTAGTTATATGTGGTACATCCATTAGCTATCAGATCAAATTGGTCATAAGACCTACATGCATAGTCGGTTTCGACGATCATAAAGGTCAACATCTTTGTGCACAAATAGCCATGATATTGTTACCCCTAGGCAAGGGTCAAGTGAACATAAGCCTCGGTATTGTTACCTTCGGGCAAGTGCCACATGAACATAGACCTCGGTATTGTTATCCTCGGGTAAGGGCCACATGAACATAAGCCACGGTATTGTTACCCCCGAGCGAGGGCCACATGAACATAAGTCACGGTATTGTTACCCCTAGGCGAAGGCCACGTGAACTAAGGATGCCACAAATACATTTCAAAAAAATGGACATTCATTCATGATTCATAAAATAGCATTTCAGAAAACAAATCATATCATTTTAGTCAGAAAATACTTATAATCAAACATAGCTTTATAAAATTGTACTCATGGATAGCTCTAGTAGCAGAACAGGTCACATGAACAGAACAGATTGATCAGGCGGGCAACAACACGTGGCCTACACAAACACGTAACGGATATATATTGAAACATATGCTCGGAAAACACTTAACTCATTTCTTTTTTTATCTTGGTGTGTTTCTAATCCTTATCGTCATTATTATGTTTTAATTAATGCTGAGGAATGCCTAAGATGCAATGAGGATGCCAAAATGTAATTTGAAACACTTAGTTAAATTTGCTAAAAACAGGGTCTTCGCTTGATCGCAACTTTGATCGCTCGAGCGGTCTGTAAAACTTTGCAAAAGTATTAGTTGCTTGATTTTTACACTCGACGGTCGCTCGAACCAAAGACTGAGTATATGCGGGTTTGCTTGAGCGCATACTTTGTTGCTTGAGCCATCGTGTAATTGTCTGCAAAACCTCTGAGAGCTCGAATTCTTCGCTCGAGTGCAAACTCCACCGCTCGAGTGAAGCTTGCGAATTCTAAAATTTCCAAATTGCATTCCCAGTTTCAAAACTTGATTTCAAAGCACTAAAATACATCCTTTTGGGCCAAAACTTTGAGAAAACATTTGTAAACTCATAGGACTTCATGAATTGAAAGCCATTTCGCCAAAACATGCATAAATGGAGTGTTTAAGTACAAAACCACAATGAGCTCTCTTAATATAACAAAAATAAGCTCTTGCGTGTCAGAATTTGTTGAAATCAAAACTCAAAATTCATGAAATTATGCATGCATGTATGTTATGATCTTCTTTCCTACTTCTTTAGCTTAATTCCTGCATTTCTTAGCTTAACTCTCTTGAATTCATGCATTAACCAACTCAATTACAAGACTAAAGGTTTGAATTCTTACCTTAGGTGCTCAATTGTATTCTAGATGTTCGATTGATTGAGTTTCCAAGTCAAATTCTTCAATTTCCTCTAATTCTCTACAACTCTCAAGCTTGAATTCAACCTCTCTCTCTCTCTCTCTCTCTCTCTCTCTATGTATATATATTTGAGCTCAAGAAGATGATAGGAAATGTTTTGCTAAGCTTGCTTTCACATATTTATAGGTTGGATTAACTTAAGCTAATTAAATAGGATTAGAGCTAAGCTAGTTCACTTTAATAATCATTTTATTTTAATTATTTCGTTCCGACTTGAATTTCAATTAAATCTACCATAAAATTCTAAAAATTCTAAATAACTCATAAACGGAGTCAATTTCGCGTTCGGACGCCTATATGGCTTTCAATTCGCATAAGGTAATAGAAACATAAATAGATATTTCTACGACCGACAGCTATAAACACAGTTAACACATAGCATATACAATTAACTCAGAATTTCCTCTTAATTACTTGTTAGGCATTCTGAATCATAGTTTATTGGCTAATCACACACAGGTCGGGGTTGTTGCAGTCGTCTCTCCTT